TGTTTCTAGTGTGTCAAAACTTCCTGGTACCCAGAACCAAGAGATGGTACTAAGTAGATGCGACAACTTTCTGGTCACATGCCTTCCTGATAGGAGATGGTAAAGAACCACTCTTTTTTTAAGAAGAGGAAGATCAGTCCTGAGCTAACATCCATGCCAATCCTCCTCTTTTTGCTGAGGAAGACCGGGCCTGAGCTAACATCTATTGCCAATCCTCCTCCTGTTTTTGTTTTTTTTTTTTCCCTTTTTCTCCCCAAAGCCCCAGTAGATAGTTGTATATCATAGTTGCACATCCTTCTAGTTGCTGTACGTGGAATGCAGCCTCAGCATGGCCGGACAGGCAGTGCATCGGTGCGCACCCAGGATCCGAACCTGAGCTGCCAGTAGTGGAGCGCGCGCACTCAACCGCTAAGCCACGGGGCTGGCCCCTAAAGAACCACTCTTGACAGAGAATGTGCTAGAGAGTATTTGAAGTAGCAGTCGAGTCCCCATGATCTTTCTGCTTTGATCAGGTCACACAAGATGAGATGGAGGTTTGATCCAGTTGCTGTCCTCAGGACAGAAACTGCCCCTGACTTCTCTCTTGGGTGAAACTTCAGCTAAGAAAACAGTCGTGTGTGGCTGCCTGGAGCCTCCCATTTAAAACCGGACAAAGAAAGAAACAGCAACAAAGCCTGTGCTTGAAATGTCTTCATCTAGTCCTAGTTTTTACCAGCAGTAGCCTGAATTCCACTCTGTCCCTGAACTCCAGCCATGTGGCTAGGAGCCGTGAATCGCTCTTGTTTGAAATGATGACAGTCAATCAACAGAGGCCAACTGTGTGTTTGTAGTGACATTATTGGCAGCACAAGTCCTCCGAGCAGAAGGCAAAGCCATGTTGTCATGTGTTGGGGAGAAGTTGGGTATTCCCTGGAGGCATCTACCTAAACTGAGTAGGATACGTTCATCAAATTGTTGCCTAATCTTAATGATAGCACACACACAAAAATAATAACTTGAATGTGTATAATATCTTTATATTTTCCAAAATGCTTGCACAAGCTTTATTTTATTTGAGCCCCATAACATTCCTATGAGCTATTTTAATGTAGTGATTAAAAGCCTGAACACTAGAGCCAGATGACTTGAGTTTAAGCCTGGCTCTGGCACTTTCTAGCTGCATGAGATTGGGCAAATTAGTAGCCTCTATCCACCTCACTTTCCTCATCAGTAAAATGGAGATAATAATAGTACCCATCTCATCAGGTTATTGTGAGTAGTAATTGAATAGTAAAACACTTTAGTGGTGCCTGGAACAGAGAAGAGCTCGATAGTTAAACATTACTATTAATTTTAGGCAGGTAGTATTATGCCCTTCCTAGGATGAGGAAACAGACACACAAGGTCAAGTGACTTGCCTGCAGGTGAGTTTCCTTGAGCCAGGTTTCCTGACTCCTGGTCCGTGTTGGTTTTGGAGCAGGAAGGAGGTGGGAGAGGGCCCAGCAGGATTGCTGCATGCAGATGGTAAGGTGGGAGGGAGGGTCTCTTAAACTATGTTTAGAGAAAGAACTCATAAATAGCATCTCACTGGGCAAGTTAACAGTTTATGCCAGATGAGAAGTAGACAAATGCCAATGATTTTGCAAATTAAGTAGCTCCTGAGAGACTAATATGTTATTAACAAGACAAAACAAAATCCCAAAGAATAGCTCTTCTCTCTCCCCCAGAGAATTCTGCGGGTAGAAGTTGGTAGTTTTTTTGAAGAGATCTCCCTGGCAAAGAAATGGCTATTTAGTACAGCCAACTTTCCCTTGTTGCCTTTACTTACTCAGATCCCTTTTAACAGCATTTTTAAATCCAAATTTCCATATTTTAAGGGCATGTAAAATAAAAAAAGTCAAATACATCCAAATATGCAGCATTGGAGCCAGGAGTGCCTGCTGGGACTGCTCAGCCATTCTTGCGTTAGCGTATATGGCTGAGCTGTGAGATGTCACATGACAGCCCAGCAAATAGCTTTCAGAGATCAAAATGCCACACAATGTGCATTGGTTCTCCCCACAGAAGCCTCCCTGGATCACTCCTAGACGTTTCATCTCATTCTTTCTTCCTTATACCATGAAGCCTGGAGCATACATCAGCTCCTCTACAGATAGGCTTATCTGCCCAGCATTGAGGTCTTTGAAAACAAAAACGGTCTACAGAGGCAAGACTGAGTGGATGGGACTGCTGAGCCTGATCCCTGTTCAGCTGTGTCACATTCTTTGACCCGTCCTCGCCGGTTGAGCTGTGCTTGCTTGGTGGCTGCCCTTTCAGCTCTGCTGACCTGCATAGGAGCCTGAGAGAGTCGGTGAGCAGTCTAGTGGAAACGCGGGGGAAGGGTTCTCCCCTCACCGCACCACGCACCCCCACACGTGAGGGCAGACTAATCCTCACCAGTTCCTGCTCATTTGCAAATTAAAAATCATCACACCTGTCCCCAAAAATACCAGCCTCTGAGTCATGAGGATTTTTTAAAATACCAAATTATTAACAAAAGTGCTTTGAAGTTCCTTCCAGAAATGATGACACACAGTATTAGTTTCAAAAGAAGTCATATTTATAGGAATAATGAAAAACATGAGGCTGTTACCTTCTTTTCTTTCTACTATTTAGTTTTTAAAAAGCTTTTTCTAGAAATTATACTTCTCACAACATGAGGTTAAAATGGATCCCAAATCTGAATAAGCAGAAGGCCTTTTCCTGAGGTTGGAGTGATAAGAATGGTGCTGCTCAGTTCACCACCTCTTTGGATTTGGTATAACCTGGTTTTCTATAAGAGGGTATCGTCCAGTAACATTTAGAGTGGCAAGCCTGGGAAATGCAAGCTACGAGGTTAAAAACTCCATCACATCACCTCATGTGATGTCAGTCTCGCTCTCATTATGGGTCTGAAAAACAGGAACGATGACCTTTGACTTGACTTAACCCTGTCCAGCAGGAATGCTGGGAGATGTGTCAGCAGGTGGTGTTTATTTCTCCTACTGCTCTCCTTTCCAGTATCCTTGCTCTTCTCTTCATAAGAACTGTTACCACAGTGAAAGATTACACCTGCTGGGTGTTTTGCTAGAGGTGCCTCGCAGGTTATCTCACAGGCAAATACCACTGCTGCCAGCCAGCATTGTTTTTTTGGAAGAGGATGAGTTTTCCAGGAGAATATAAGGAAAATTAAACATTAAACACTGTTCTCTCCCACCTGCATTTTTCTAGGCTCAGACTCTTCAGTTGAGGAGTAATATACACAATACAGTTTTTTCCACTACTAAAAATTGTCTTTTGGGTTGACTTTGTCTTAACTAAACAGCTTGAGGAAAGCCAAAGATCGTAACCCCTGATGCAATGGTGCAGCAGATGGGAATTTTTTAGCCACCCTTCAGCCTCTGGGATTAGGCAGGTTGAGAAGACAACACAATGTCACCATTAAATCCAGCACCTGGACATTTCAAAAACATTGTAAGCCTTAGTAAGATCGAAGTACCTCTGGTGGTCCAACTCCAAGATGGGCAGATCATGGAGAAATAAATATTTCTCTGTATCATTGTGATTATTGTATTCTCTGGTGCTGATTTTGAAAAAATAGTAGACAAAGTCATCAGTACTCTTCAATTCTGTTAGTCAAAAATATTTATATTTTTTCCCTTTCTTTAAAAATGAAGATTTACTCTAACATAGAAGTCGTGACCCTTTTTTTTTTTTTTTTTATAAGTTTCCATTTTTATTTATTTATTTTTTTTACCAAGTTTCCAGGTGAAGCCACACAGCTTGGATATATATATAGGTAGATAGATAAGATAGAGTTTTTTTTTTTTTTTTTTTACCAAGTTTCCAGGTGAAGCCACACAGCTTGGATATATATATAGGTAGATAGATAAGATAGAGATATATAAATTTTTTTATATATATGTATAAAGCTTTTTTTTTTTTTTTGAGCTGGAACCTTTTTTAGTGGTAAAGAAATAGGTTTTAACCAAAAAAGGTTATATTCTTTTTCCATCTGGCTACTTTAGGCTAAGAGGAAAATGAAAGGCTAATTTCAAAACCCATGGAGTTTAATTTCTCTTGCAGCAAAAAAGTAGCAGACACTTAATATAAATGAACTCAAACTTGAAACAACTAGGACTTTTACTTCATTTCTTCAGTTAAATATATTGGATATTTGTGTAACTGTTTTATCTGTATAGAAATTTGTAACTAAGGTGGCAAATTACATAGCTCTGGTAACTGAAGGCAGTGGGGTGTAGTGGAAAGAGGGAGGGGCTGAATTCTGATAAAGTTCTTGGTGTGAATATTTATAATGATTGTACAAGCCATGACTAAAGTCAGGCTGACGTGAGTTCAGGGCAGCCCCACCTAATGGTATATGTGTCACCTCACTGAGTCTTAGATTCCTCACCTATTGTATGTGGATAAAATAATATCTCCAAGATTGATGGGAGGACTGAATAAAGTCATCCATGTAGAGTTTCTCCCTTCCTCCCAATCACATAGTAATTGCTCTACAGATGGTAGCTGTGATTAATATTCAACTCAGCTCTGTGGCCTTGGGCAAGTCCCTTCACTCCTTTGACTCTTGGCTTCTCTGTTTGTAAAACAAGAATATTTACCCTACCTGCCTGTGGTTTGTTGTGAGGATCAAATGAGAGCATGTCTCAAAAAGACTTGTAAAAGTGAGTAGTTAACAAACCAGTTGGAAAGGCAGAGCTGTACACAGCATGACACAATTGGAAAACAGTACGAGGATACGTGTGATCAAGTGTTGGCCTGTGAGGACTGAATAGGTTCAGAGACAGGCAGTTGTAGACATTCAGGGAAAGGAAAGAATATTGTGGCCTAATGTTGGAGGCAGTCCATAAAAGTCCATATAGGGGTGCCTTTAGTTGAACCTTGAAGAAAAGACAGGATGTGGCTGGGAGAAGTGAATCCTGCTCCCATTGACCACTCTGGCTGGCTAACGTTGCTGTGTGTCTCCTCTGTGGTTACAGGCCGAGCTGATTGGAAGCCTCACCCACAAGCTTGAGAACCTCCAGGAAGCGAAGGGGAGTCTGCTGATGGACATCAAGCTCAATAACGCCTTGGGAGAAGAGGTGGAGGCCTTGATCAGTGAGTTCTGCAAGCCCAATGAGTTTGACAAGTACAAGATGTTCATCGGGGACTTGGACAAGGTAGTAAACCTGCTGCTTTCCCTCTCGGGGCGCCTGGCCCGTGTGGAGAACGTCCTGAGCGGCCTTGGTGAAGATGCCAGTAATGAAGAAAGGGTAGGTGGCCTAGCAATTCAGTTCAATGTTTCCCTCTGTGCCCATGTGCACAGAGAGGTACGATTAGACATGATCCCTTCTCTCGGGAAGATTAAGATCTCTTTGGAGTAGGGAGAGAGTCCAACATAGAGGCAACCAGGAAACAGAGAAGAAGGCACTTTCCATGCCAAGATGTAATGCTGACACTTCAGGCTCAGGAAATGCTTAGTAAGGTAGAAACATGGGTACCAGAGTTTCTTTCCTTCCTTTCTATCCCAGGAAAAAAAAAAACATAAAAGCATGATGGGTGTTGACATTAAAAACAGAGAGGGGGCCCGGTGGCGCAAGCGGTTAAGTGCGCATGCTCTGCTGCGGCAGCCCGGGGTTCGCTGGTTCGGATCCCGGGTGCGCACCGACGCACTGCTTGGCAAGCCATGCTGTGGCAGCGTCCCATATAAAGTGGAGGAGGATGGGCACGGATGTTAGCCCAGGGCCAGTCTTCCTCAGCTAAAAAAAAAGAGGAGGATTGGCAGATGTTAGCACAGGGCTGATCTCACCAAAAAAAAAAAAAGAGAGAGGTACAACAAAACTGTTGGGGATGAGGAGAGGGCACAGGAACGTGAGCTCAAACTCCAGGAATCTGCAGGGGAGGGGCTGCAGGCAGTAAGGGTGCACCCAGGGGTCTCCACTGCACCCCTCACTGGAAGGTAGAGGACAGGGAACAGTCATGGTAATACTGGGTAAAATTCAAGTACTTCTTCTTCATCAGGCACTGTGGGCTTACGTGCTTTGTGTGCAGTCTCAGTGAATCCTCACAACAGACCAGTAGGTGATGGAGCCAGGATATGAGGACTCCTGTTATAGACCCCAAGTTTTATTTACTACATTGAACTTAATTCCATAGCTGCAGAGCATTCTTCATCTACTCATCTGTACATCAAATATTTACTAGGTGTCTAATACATGCCACTTACTGGTGTGGGCACTTGGGATACATCTGTGAACAAAGCAGACAGATCATTGCCCTTATGAAACTTATCAAGGGGAATCAGACAATAAATGGAACTGTAACTATTTCATATATATATATATGTGCCAGAAGGTGATAAGTGCTCCAGCCATCAAGAAGCTCCTTTGCTTTCTGGCTCCTTCTCCTATCTACAGCACTCTCTTTCAGTGCTATTAGGGATTTCCCAATTATTTCTCCTAATATATTGCATTAAAAGGAAAGATGTCTTTTTTCAAATAGATTTTAAAAGGATTAGAACAAGTCTAGATGGTAAGCATTTAGGAATGTGACTCTGAGCATCCAGGAACTTTCTGCAGCTCCACTCCCAGCGAGTGCCCTCCTCATGTAAATGTGCTGAGCCTTAGCTTCCTCTTCTAGAAATTGTCTAATAGTACCTGCCTCAAAAGTGCTGTCCTTTCTTCCACTCAGCAAGCAGCTAACGAGAGCCTGTCAAGTAGCAGGTGCTGTGTGCGCTAGGGATGAACACTGGCTAAAACACAGGCCCCGTCCTCAAGGAGCTCAACATACAGTGAGGAAAATCGGTCTGGAAGAAGCATTGTGTCTAGAAGAAGTGTGTCTAGAAGAATTTCTTAATTCTGGGTAGACTAAGAGGGGAAGGGCTTCACCATTTAGAAGCAATGTCATGGACAAAGTCAAGGAGGAGCATGGCATGTTCAGGAACTGATTTGCATATGGTTGGTATGTCTAGAGCATCGAGTAATTGTTTGGTTTGTTTTTATTTTTATTTATTTATTTTTTTGTGAGGAAGATCAGCCCTGAGCTAACATCCATGCTAATCCTCCTCTTTTTTCTGAGGAAGACCAGCTCTGAGCTAACATCTATTGCCAATCCTCCTCCTTTTTTTTCCCCAAAGCCCCAGTAGATAGTTGTATGTCATAGTTGCACATCCTTCTAGTTGCTGTATACGGGACGCGGCCTCAGCATGGCTGGAGAAGCGGTGCATTGGTGCGTGCCCGGGATCCGAACCCGGGCCGCCAGTCGCGGAGCACGCGCACTTAACCACTAAGCCACGGGGCCAGCCCTGATTTGTTTTTAAAAATAGTAAATTGTAAGGAAATATTAGAAAAGTATGTAGTCAGGGAACTGACAGGAAGTAGATGGCTCAAACAAAAGGAATCAACAAAGAAAGTTCTAAGAAGGTGTGGGAAGGATTAAGGGAGACCAGGAAGGGATAATGAAGCTCCCTGTCCCCCCCAGGGCTAGCATCAGTGGGGAAACCGTTACTACCTCTAGACCTCAAGGAGCAGGAGGAAGGGAGCCCTTATCAGAACTGTAGCCATAGCTGCCCTGCAGCACTGAGGCCTTGGTGAAAGAATGCAGCCACCACCACCTGGCAAGGAGGGAGCCGGGGATAAATGCCCCAATTCCTTTCTTCTCCCACCCTCCAGTCTCCTGCCCATGACTCCCACTGGTGAAACCCAGAGGGCAAGGGAGCCCAAGTGATGCAGCCCTCAGAGTTCAGCTTAGCCAGGCCCAGAGCAGGGCTCAGGAGAGTGGATCTGGAGGGGTCAGCAGTATCCAGTGCAAAAAATAATCATGAAGACCTTCTGTGCCCTACTTAAGACTTTGGACTTGAGCCTGTAGGCTGAGAGAGACGTGAACTAATTTCATGACATAACCAGCCTGGGGAGGGGTGAGGATGATGCTTACAGTTGGGAGACTTATATTGTAAGAGTCCAGCAAGGAGGGTTTAGGCTGTTAGTTTAAGCAATTGTCATGGGGATAGAGAATAGGGAATGAGTTAGAGAGTGAGTTTGAATTGCAGGGTGTGTTAGATGAGGGGAAAGATAGACAGAAGGTAATTCAAGTTTCCTGTTTGGCCGCCTGGATGGATCTGCAGATACCTGAGGTAGGAATCCTGGAGCAGTGTTTAGTTAGGGGAAGATGAGTTGTTCCAGGATTGACTTCACCTCAACACTTAGTGCGCACACACACACACTCTTAAATACAAGTGAAAGCTTGCCCACCTGCCAGGTACTACGGTAGTACTGATTTTTGTAATGATTAGTCTTTGTTAAGAAACTAAAAGTATAAACAAATGAGAAAAGGAAGCATATTTGGTTCAATAAATGCCAAATTCAGGACAATAGTTACCAGTGAAGGGAGAGAGGGGGAAGATGGGGGGATTCGAGAAGTATATATAGGCTTCACCTGAACCTCTGATTTATTTTTAATCTGAAACAAATATGAAAATGTTCATGTTAAGATGTGGCGCTACTAATGATGGGTACATGGATATTATACCATTCTCTATAGATTTCGGATGTTTAAAATATTTCGCAATTTTTTTTAAAGGTGAGAAAGAGGTTCTCACTTGTTAACTTACACCTCTACAATATTTTGATCGGTGTCTTCATTCAAATTCAATCCCTAAGGGGTTTTTTTTAGATGTATTTTTCTGATTGGGAGAAAGAAGCCTGTGAAAATGGAGAAGTTTGTAAGATAAACCTGTAACTTTGCACTTTTCCCCCAGGCAGTATGATGTAAGATCTCACAGGCCAGTTCAAGGGAAGTTAGGGTAAAGACACATGAGCCTTTCATAACCCTACATCAGCTAATTTTTATTGAGGTATATATTTAAATAATCTTATTTCTTGATTAATTTTCATTTTAATGTTTCTCAATCACTTTGGCCTGAAAAGTATGAATGGTTAAATATAAAATTTTTGAAAAATTTTAAATGACATTCATTACGTGTCAGCACATTGGGTAAAAAAACCACATTAAAGATTTTTATAAAGTAAATTAGCCCTAAAGATAACATGCTACCTTACCATTGGGTTTGTGTAAGAAACTCTCAGAATACGAAATTGCCATCATTGTTAAATAGAATTTCCTCATGTTAGATTCAGAGGGCTGAAAAATGGAAACTGATTTCTTCAGAGATAGTGAATAAAACGTTCCCATTGTTGATTGTGGATTAGGACAGAGGTTCTCAAACTTCAGCTGCAAAAGAATCACCTGGAAGGCTTTTAAACCACAGATTTCTAGGCCCCACCTTCAGAGCTTTTAATTCCATAGGTGGAATAGGGCCTGATAATTAGCATTTCTAACAAGTTCCCAGGTGCTGCTGCTGGTCCACACTTTGAGAACCACCATAAATGTAAGTACTTGATGACTGGCCCTTTTTTTCCCCTTCAGTTTTTTTATTGTGGTAAACTACACATGACAGAAAATTTGCCATCTTAACCATTTTGAAGTATGCAGTTCAGGAATATTCAGTACATTCATATTATTGTGTATCCATTTCCAGAACTCTTCATCTTGCAAAACTGAAACTCTTTACTCATTAAACAGTAACTCATCTTTCCCCACCCCCTAGTCCCTGTTTTCTGTCCCTATGATTTTGACTAAGAACCTCATATAAGTGGAATCACTGATTGTCCTTTTAAGTCTAGAAGCCTAAAGTCATAACCCCTGCCAATTTAATGTAACCTCTCTCAAATTAAAGCTGCCACAGGACAAGTTAGAGAACCCTATGCATGCAACAGAAGGGTAATAAACTGATTTTCCAAAAATTGTGTCCTTACTTTAGAGTGACAATTGAAATAGAAATGTAGCTATTTTGCAGTCCTGGAAAAAGTGTCTTTGCAGACTGTTTGGCTCTTTCCTTCCTTCCCCTTGCCCTTCGCTGATCTGCTTGTTTCGCCCTGGCAGAGCTCTCTGAACGAGAAGAGGAAGGTCCTGGCTGGACAGCATGAGGATGCCCGGGAGCTCAAGGAGAACCTGGACCGAAGGGAGCGGGTGGTGTTGGACATCCTGGCCAATTACCTTTCAGAGGAGCAACTCCAGGATTACCAGCATTTTGTGAAGATGAAGTCAACACTCCTCATTGAGCAGCGAAAGCTGGACGACAAGATCAAACTTGGCCAGGAGCAGGTCAAGTGTCTGCTGGAGAGTCTTCCCCCGGATTTCATTCCCAAGGCGGGGGCCCTGGCTCTGCCCCCCGACCTCGCCAGTGAAATGACTCCCGTTGGGGGAGGTACTGTCAGTGGTATTTTTCCAACATTAACCTCTCCACTTTAACCTCTTCTAAAATACCCAACCAAAAGATCACCCTTTCTCTCAACACTATTTAATCTGAAAAATGTTTTAGTACAAACCACTGTTTAAACTATATGGGTTATTTGGGGGTTTTTCTGGATAAAAGGAAAAATTCTGTCCAGGAAAAAGCCTGTTTTTTTCTTCTTGCCCTTCATGATTGATCTTCTGAGAGCGTGAATGCTGCTGGGAACTTGCCCCTTTCTATTATTACTTGTAGTAGAAAGAAAATTAATGAAACTGTGAGAACTGATTGGAGGGTGTTTGATCATTAGTTTTTAACAGGCTGAGGCAACACAGATCAGTGTGTGTCACCCTCAGGAATGTATCCACAGTGGCCTTCCTTGCTTGTGGGCAGTGTGTTCTGACGACAGGTACAAGTACTCATTAATGAAGGGTCTGCAACATAAAGCCTTAAAAAGAAACACACAGAAGAAAATTGTAAAACCTTGAACATTGTTGTTATTTATATTTTTAAAAATGAAAAAAGATCATTGTTTTGTGTGCTAACCACTTATTTGATTCTATTTTGTGGTGGACGTAGACAATTATGTTTGAGCTTTGTATTTTGTGACAACCTTAATGAAATGAAGAATTCCAAAGATAGTGACACTGAGTGTGGAGACTTTTGTTTTTTCTTAAACTCGTCTGATTTTTACAAATCTGAGTACACCGTCTACACTTGTGTTAAACTGAGTAGGGGGAATCCTAGTTTCCACTGCTGTCAGTCCTCACCTCTTCACTCCTGCAACAAACAGGAACACACGCGCGTTCCTGGGGAAGAAGGCTTTATCGCATGGGTGTCGCATCATTTCCTAGTGCTTCGTGTCATCATCACTGTGGTGGGAAGATAAAGCTGAATTTTACTAACAAGGACAACAACTCTCCAACCTGTGTGACACGAGGAAGGCCAGGATCCAAGTCAATTCAAAAGTGAATTCATGTTGTCCTCCTGTACGGGATTTGGGCTCAATGCACCCTATATTTAGTGAGATATATTTATCAGGCTGTTTCACTGATGCTTTAAAAAAAAGTTTGTTTTCCTAAAATGTCAAACCTATCAACCACACTTTTATTAAAAACTCCCTCCTTGCCATCAAAGACTGACTTTGCACTATCGTGCTTCAGTAACAATGTCTCAGAGGGGACTCGAGAGCCCAAGTTGTAAGTAAGTCTCTTAAAACGGACTAGGAGCACGGAAGGAGGCTATGGGCCAGTGGCCAGGCCATGTAACAGCTGCTGGAGATGGCAACGGCCTAATCCTTGGAGCAGGTGGTGCATCCCAGGCTCTGCGTTATTTTTTGTTGTTGTTTTCACATGTGCTTAATCCGTGGCTGGTGGCCACCTCCGCTGATTTGGGCTGCAAGTACCATAGCAGCCAGTCCTAGAGTATTGGGAGAGTGAAGTTTGTATGAGGGTACAAAATGCCCTTCTTTCTTCCTTAGTACATTTTCATTACTTAATGAAATTTATCTTCTGGTTAAGAACTTGAAAACTGTAGTTTTGGTCCCAGTACAGATGTCTGTTGAAAAACTTAGAACGAATAGGCCACCCAGCAGTTTCTTGGGAGCAGTCAACCCAAGCAGTTGCTTTGTTCTGTGGCGGTTTTACACTCTCTGACTCCATTGATACAGTAGGACAGGACCTTGGTTTTCAGGAATATTTGTTTTTAAAAGCTTGTATCTTATATTCAGAGGTCCCATCTCCCAGGAAATCAGTGGAACCAGCGACCGCACTCTACAGCCACACTGCATGCTCATTTTGAAGTCAAGGTAAACAGTGCACCTTACTGACATTTCATCAGACTTAGACCAACACAGGAGCCTGAAGTCAACTCCAATTGGTAATTAACTGTCTTGCTGATATTGAGTGGTTCCTTGGGGTCAGATCACGTTGAAGCCAGCCAGCAAATGTCTTCAGCTGTTCTTAGTGAAATTCCTTGGAAGGATTCTGGAGCTCCCAATTCCCAACACTCTTCTGAATGATTATTCTTAAGGATTTGACTGGCAGCATTTTACACATACAGTCTTTTTCCATCCCTTTTGTAATTTATACATGTCAAAGTAAGTGATCCCTCCTCCACACAGTAGAATAGCAGGTAATGCTACTTTGCATGCCACAACACCTGAAAGCTTATGACACTCTTGGGAGAACATCCCTTCTTTTGCTACACTGAAATGTTCTGTGACATGAGTGAGTTACCAAGGGTGACTATGAAATCTAATTCTTAGGTAGATGTGATATTTATTCTAACAGGACTTGACCTCCGTGCTCTGATGAGAAGAAACCACTAACCTAGTTTTCATTGTTAACTTTTAAATGCCTTTAGCTAGAAAATAAGCCTGTTCTTTACCCTTTTTCTATTTTGCATTCTTTTCCCACTATTAAAAAAATAATCATCTACAGTAGAAGCCGTCCTTCTTCCTCCAAACGAATCCTCAGCCATGATCATGACACAGCAACCAGGAACGTGTTGGTCAAGATTTCAGGACACACGTGACATCATCAAGAATGTTTGTTCACAGTCTCTAACTGTCCCTGTGGATGTGGTCTTTTCAGAAATACATGTCAGGTGGGAGTGGGAAGGCCTTGCAGTAATCCAAATGCTGATACTCAAGAAACCTGTGACGTTCCAAGAAAGCACCATGTCCTATGACAAAATTGGGAGGCCTCCAACTTCCTCGGCCACTTAAGAAGTAAGTTCCTGGACATGTTGCTACATGTTGGTTGACAGCCTTTTCTGATGCTGTTTTGTTTCTTCTGGTGGCTGCTTACGCCCAAAGAATGCAGGGAGGAGCCGTAGTGAAGGTGTCCGAGTTTCTCCAAGAGGCGCTGTCGAAACCAAACTTTTTTTCCTTTGCTCCAGGGGAACACTTGAGGTTTTGTTTTGCACAACTGGTGTTCAAACTTGAAGATTAGTGAGTTTGGGTCAACCACTAAGAATGAGTGACTGTTGAGGTGAGGAGTGAGGGCTTAAGTGAGGTCCTTTGGGGAATATAAAGGAGAAACCAGCCTGGGACATCCCAGTTTTCCTATTATCCCATTGTTAATATCTGATCTAAAATCTCTTCTGAGTTTAAAAGGTAGATCATGCTTGTTCTTAATATGAGCTCTACCTTTAAGTTTGTATTTTATTCAAGCATCTTTTATTAAGATATTGGGTTTTTTTCCAGATACCTATGAAAACGTTGGCTTTTTATTCTTAGATGTTTCCAGATTTTTCTCTTTAATTTTCCATGACATTATTGGCTTTATTTTGTTAGGTTGGAATTATTTTTCCTTTTTTAGAACACTATGAGTTTTATTCACCTTACTATTGGAAAGAAAAAGGAAGAACTTCAGCCAGAAATAACTTCTCCATCTCCAGCAAGGTATAAAGTAGTCAGACGAACGCAACAGGCCTTTCTACACAGAGATTATTGGGGACAAGTTATTTATTGCTGCCTTAACTCTTTGGGATGAAGCATGGGATAAAATAATAAAGACCAGTCTAATACCAGAAAGGGACACACGAACAGTTTTCTTACTTATTTCTAAATAAAACCTCACTTTTCTTATGGGAGCTCGTTCAGACACTAAGTCAGTCATGGTTCCTCAAAGTGCGGGCAAGATACCATCTGCATCAGAATCCCAGGGTGCTCAAAAGTGCCAGTTGCTGGGACACAACCAAGTAGGCTGGGAATCTGCATCTTATCAAGTTCCCCAAGTTATTCTGATACACTTAACATTTGAGAGCCACTGACAACAACAGTCATGTGTATAGTTTCCATTGTTATGATCACAGTAATAAGACTAGTAGGAATTCATGTAATAATAATACCAGAAATTCAAAGCCAGTCATGTTACTCTCGTTAACGTCATTATTGTGAGTTAATATTGTCCCTGCTAGTTTTATAATCCCCAAGATTGTGATGGTTTTTTTTTTCCCTGCTCACTTTCTCCTAGATCTGTTTTAAATTTAAACAAGCTAAGCACTTTTTCAGGCTCAATTGCACTAATTATTTTTACTCAGAGGGAATGTCAGGAATTGGAAGTTCTGCCATGATATCTGCACTAATCTGAAATCACGACAGACCTTGTGAGTGGGGACCTTCCTCAGATTTCTGTCGCTTCCTCACATCACAGGTCTCATGCTACCTAGGAGTCAGAATTTCTCTTGGTGTGTATTTGACAGTCTAGCCAATGAAACAAAAATGTGTTAACTTCCTTTGAGAAGTGAAAGGAGCTATCACCCAATTTCAAAACCCTAAAATCAAAATTAGGCAAGAAAAAAGTTGAGTGAAGAAATTGGCTCATTTATTCCTACTTCATTCTGTAAGTTCCTCTCAAATCTTCTCTAAGTGGAAAGGCAGCTGCATTTCTTGCTAAAACATCAATATTGCTGTTGCTTTACACAGTGGGGTGAACAGGGGAAGTTTAAGAAATTATTAAATTCTGATAAACAAGTGACTATAGAATGTAAGGAAATTCTATACAATACCCTGGAGCTACGGGAGAGTACCTAAGGAAAGACGAACTTGGAAAGGGGTGTCCTCCTAAGGCTGACGTTCAGACCTCCTTGGAGAACTCAGCCCACTGATAGCAGAGAATTCTGTTGGTTTGCCCAGGCCAGAGCTGGTCTGCACTTCCTGGGCAAGCAGGAAGCAGTCCTCCAGAGTGCAGGCCTGGTGAGTTCGCTCAGCACCCATGACATGGATGTGCACGCAAGGCAGGTAGTGGGGGCCTGCAGAGAGAGGTGCTGCTCGGGGGAAACCGTCTGAGTAGTAGGTGATCCGCATGGGGCAGTGGGTGTTGGCAGAATGCCCTCGGGGCATCGATGCACACAAGACTCCTTCAGGGCCCTGGGGTTTCTAGTCCACAAGGCAGGGAGAAGGTTACCACTTGCTGAGACTGCACGGTCACTAAGTGAACCCATGGTTGGGGCAGAGCTCCACCAGATGTCCTCACACCCACAGCACTCATGACCAGGCAACAGCCAAAACAGCAATATAGTCTTTTCCTTCCCTCCTGCCCCTCCAGCACCCTCTACTGAGAAAGCTTAACATCATGCACACTGTAAGGGAGAGACTTAAAGTGATTCTGTCCTCTATCACAGAACATATACTAAAGGGTGATTGTGGAGCTAAGAGGCAATAAATTGATAACTGGCAGAGATTTATTCTGCTAGACTATTACCCTAGTGTTACCTTTTGGTATCACATAGAGTTTTGTAGTTGTTGATTCTGTAAGAACTATTTCTCTGACAATAAAGGAAAAAACAGTACATATCAAATGGATAATTTATAACTCTTTAAGGAGAAAGTTTCCAAAGGAAAGCAGTTCTCATTTATGTTTTCTTTAAATGTACTTCATACACTCATATTCCTCAGAGTACCTAAAGCAATAGATTTGAATTGAGGCCTATTTAAGAGCATGTATAAGCTCTGTGTCTGTCAGTCTGTCTGCCCAGCTCTGCCTCTGCACACCTCTGTGTGTCTGTCTCCCAGAGTGTCTCCATGTGTTATACCTTTCTCTCTCCCTGTCTGTGTTTCTATCTCAACCTCTACAACTGTCATCATCCTGTTCTTGCATTTCCCAAATGATTCTAATTATATTTTTTCTTTCTTTTTT